CCAACTTTGTATTCATCCTCCTCTCTTCATCAGCCAGCCACTTTTCCTCAGCCTTCTTTTTTTCTGCCTTTTTTGCCCTGAACTTTATTGAGGACCCCCCCCCACCCCCACTACACCCCCAAGCCGTTACTGACCCCAGCAGGGCCCACCTGGTTGGGAATCACTGCCCCTGGCCTTCCCTGGGATGATCCAAAAACAGTGTTTTTCAACCTTGGCCATTTTAAGAGGGGTGGACTTAAACCCCAAGAATTCCCCAGCCAGCCATGCTGGCCGAGGAATTCTGGGAGTTGAAGTCCACCCATCTTAAAGTGGACAAGGTTGAAAAACACTGTTTTTGGATCATCCCAGGGAAGGCCATAGGGCAGAGAAAGAAGCAACTTCCCTCGAAACTCACAAAGCTTCAGTGTGCCCGTAACCCCTGATTCTGCCCCGAGAAGGAAACACCCAAGTATCTTCTCCCCACCCTGTATTCACCACTCAAAGCGTGTAGGCCATCAACATCTGGCCACTGTGCCAAGAGTCCCCCCAGGGAAGGCCAGGGGCAGTGATTCCCAACCAGGTGGGCCCTGCTGGGGTCAGTAACGGCTTGGGGGTCTAGTGGGGATGGGGAGAGATCCTCAATAAAGTGCAGGTCAACAAAGGCAGAAAAAAAGAAGGCTGAGGAAAAGTGGCTGGCTGATGAAGAGAGGAGGATGAATACAAAGTTGGAGGGAGTGGCTGAATCATTCCCTCTGCATGGCAGGGGGTCATCTCTCCACGACCCCTTCCCTGAAGTTATCCAGGGATTGTAGGGAGAAGGTGGGCCATGGCGGAGGAAGTCCCCCTATTTTGCACTGAAGCTACAAATAGAGACCTTCCTCTTTCTACAAATATAGACCTTCTGGGGTCAGGGGGAAGGAGTGAATTGTATTTGAAAGAAAAGCAGGAAACCTAACAAGGATAATCAGCAACATCAAACCCACCCCATTCTTTTGAGGGCGGGTACCTTGTCTGTAGGTTCTATATCAATCTCTATCTCTTTTCCGGTAAGCGTCTGCAACGAAAGGAAAAGGTTTCAACAAATTACCAATATCCAGTTCCTCTGCAGGATCCCACCCTATTTCAGTTCTAAAGAGAGGTGGGGCTGGATCTGCCCCATTTCCCAAATTCTCATTCCTAAGCTATCTACCTTTCTGTACACAGCTCTGCATCTCTCTCTAGCCCAATCCAGTCTCCCTCCTTCCCTCCCTGTTTTCCTCCTCCTATCATATTCCGGACTGAACACCGTCTCCTGTTAAAACTGCTCGTACCAACATTTCCGCCTCCTTAAAACCTTGCTGTGTCCTGCATGGGATTTGAAACAGAAACCGCCTTCTCTCCATCACCACAGCAGGCTGGAGAAAGAGCTGGAGGCGGACAGCAACTTTATTACCTACTGGTGCATCTGCTGACGTAGAATTTAAGAAACAATCCCACCAGCACCGGTACAGATATTCTGGATATTCCCAGTTGCTTGGGAGCAAAGCCAGCAAGCACTGAGCCATTAGCATTTTTCACAGCCTGAGTCTCGGGATCAGACAGCTGTGCAGCTGGAGGCTAAAACCTGAGCAGAAGTCCTGCAGGGGAAAGAGACAATTACAGGGGTTGCTTGCTTGATACAGACAGTCCCCTACTTGCGAACGGATTACATTCCAAGAGGCTGTTTGTAAGTCCATTTTGTTTGTAAGTCCAAGCAGCAAAAAAACATGTGCAGTTCGCATCTTACATAAGTGGCAGTGCTGACATAGGCGCTTGTGGTGATTGTGTAGGCGCTTGCGTTTAACTGCAGACATTTGCAGTCTGCAATTTGCAGTCGCCACACACCAAACACAACTGACCATCCGAGAAGTCAGGACCGGAGTTGGAACCGGAAGTCAGGAGATGGCGGAAAAGGGTTAGTTTGTGGTGTGCCTTCTCCCAACTTCCAGCTCCAACTTCCGGGTCCATCTTGTTCGCATCGGCTGAAGCTCACAACTTGAAAGTTTGTATATAGGGGACCTTCTGGATAGGCAATCCGAAAAGGCAAGGAAGAGAAGACAACACCATCCACATCCCTTCTGCACCTCTAGATTAGATTCAGAGGACGCTGCACACAGGGCTATTTAACTTACATCAGATGCTGGGAACATTTAACAATAGTTCTCTGACTGGGCAGGAAAATCGTAGCCTCACGTACCTGGAGAGTTAAGGATTGCAAAAGGTAATCTTCTACAGATTACCTTATTTTGCTTTCCTCTCAGCTGAGCTGCAGAGGAATCCCCAATGCTGAAAATCCACAAGGAACGCACAGGAAGGAAAAGCTGTGGCGTCAGCAGCCGAGCCAGGCCTACAGCCACAACATTTTGGCCAGCAGACGTCCTATGCGTTAACCGTATGCATCAATAGGCAAGAAGCCAACATCAAAATGTATCATGATATTTTAGGATGCAGCAGAGTTTATTACATCTGCAGCAAGCCGTGATAACTCTGAAATGATGACATCTGCGTGGTGATGTCATTATGTAAATGCATCCTGTATGTTTTTGCATTCTAAGATGTCATGCAAGTTGATGTAGGGTTTTGTCAACCCTCTCTTGCTGGCAGACACCCGTGATTCTGTAACTTTCCAGTTGAAGAGGAGGGGAGCTGGTTTTCCAGGAAGACCATACATGTAATTAATTTATTTTTAGATTCCACTGGGACACAGTTGTGATGTCAACTGAAGGGGCAGGCCCAAAGTGTATGCCTTGTTTCTTCAGATTCTTTCATGCAAAACAGGCAATTGAAACTGACTAAAATATCTATGCAGAAGCTTAGTACTTCTATTTTTCTTTGTAAAAATTAGCAATTTGCTGCTGAATTTTAGGGGGTTGATGTTGGAAAGCTCTGCATCCTTTTAATATATGAAAGACTTCTCTGGCCTGCCTCTCTTCAAATGTCAGCACAACAGGCCTGGAGGGAGCCAGCTGGGGAAGACTCTAATGCCAGAAACACAAGTAATTTCATTTGGAGCCATGAAGGCCTCCATAAATTTGTGCTGCAGTATTTTGGAGGATACTTCCAGTATTCACTGTTGGGTTCCATAGCTGAAATATTATTTCAAATGTACTTGACAGGAGATAAGCTTCCACCATCCTTGAACCAGTTTTCTGCAGAGGAATGAGTTCTTTCTGTTAAAGCAAATGTATGGAACAAGAAGTGTGTGTGTCTGTCCCCATTTTCCTGTCCCCACCTTCTATATTGCCCATCTTTCAAAGTCACCACTGTCTCTCTTGTGAATGATTCTGAGCGTCTGTTCTTATTTCTCCCTAAATAAAAAGCAGAGAGGGAGACCTCCCACCTTTTAATTACCAGCTGCAACTCCAAGAAGAGCCAGATTGTAATTAACCCCCCAAATGATTGTGTCTTCAAGCTATTAGAATTAGACCTCAAGACCCTGCCCATCGTGCACCATCTTTGATTAGTGTACGTTGTAGTTACTGATATGCTTGAATTAAAATATCTGAATGGAATTTTGGGGTGGGGGGGAAGATAGTAATTTAGTGAATTGCCATTCCTCCCTCTGTAGATAGGGTACTGCTGGAAGGGTAAGGGTACTTTGGATATACAGAAACCAAGGGCAAGCTCAGTCAGAGTGAATCCATGTTTGAACAGAATATAATCTTTTTCCAGGCTTGGCCAGCCAGTGACTTTTTCTAGTGATTGCAATGGATACTGAGCTTAATGAATCCTATGATGAATACTTAGTCTAACAAAGAACATACAGTCCATCTGAACGGACAGGTGCATGAGAGTGCAACAGCAGGCTAAAACAATAATAATAATGTATTAAACTTGTATGCTGCCCGACTCTCAACGACTCTGGGCGGTTCCCAGCAATCAAAGAAATTACAATAAAATCAGCAAGACTTAAAAAAAGGAAGATAAAAGACGGCAAGGGCAGTGAAGTGAGAGGTCTCGCTCTCCTTTGCCGAAGGCCTGGAGACAATGCCAGAGACCAGGAGAAAATTAAAGGGTGACTAATAGTTAAAAATACCAAGGGTCGGGACATGAACTTCCCTGAACAGCAAGTGCCTGCCTAATTGTCTTCTAAATTGTAAGACTGTTCCCTGACCAGATAGAAAAAGACTAGCTGGCCAGAGCCCAACAATCCAACCATTTTACGTTATAAAACAGGAAACAAAGAACAGCTCTGTGTGCACAGTGTGCGCGCGAGGTTGCACAAGGAGAATGCAAGTGCTCCTTTATTCTACAGCTTTCTAAGTTTATTTGCTGCTCTTTCTCTTGCAACCTTTTCCAGGGTGCAAAAACCTTTCTGGAATCAGGGCGCCACCAAGCAACTTTGGGTAATGACCTGATTAGTAATTTAGATCAGGGTTCCTCAACCCCAGCAACTTTAAGATGGGTGGACTTCAAATCCCAGAATTCCTCGGCCAGCATGGCTTGGTGGGGGGTATTTGGGGGTGGGGGCCACCCCTCTTCGAGGTGGGGGGGGTGGGGGGACCACTGATCTAAATTACTAATCAGGTCATTACCCAAAGTTGCTTGGTGGCGCCCTTATTCCAGAAAGGTTTTTGCACCCTGGAAAAGGTTGCAAGAGAAAGAGCAGCAAATAAACTTAGAAAGCTGTAGAATAAAGGAGCACTTGCATTCT